CCCTCTCCCTCTCTCTCTCTCTCTCTCTCTCTCATTCTCTCCCTGCCCCTCTCTCTCCCTTTCCCTTAAAATCGTCTTAAAAATGAAACCAAACAAAATTGTGATAACAACAGCAATAGCACTTAGTGCTTTCCTCTCTAGGCAGTTTACAATGCCAGCACGTTGCCCTCAACAATCTGAGCCCTCATTTTCCTGACCTTGGAAGGATGGAAAGCTGAGTCAGCTAGTCAGGATTGAACTCCTGGCTGTGGACAGAGTTGGACTGCAATACAGGTAGTCCTTGACTTGCAACCACAATTGAGCCCAAAGTTTATGTTGCTAAGCGAGACAGTTGCTGTGAATGTTGCCCTTATGATCTTTCTTGCCACAGTTGTTAAGTGAAACAGTGCAATTGTTAAATTAGTAATACCGTTGTTAAGTGAATCTGGCTTCCCCACTGACTTTGCTTGTCAGAAGGTTGCAAAAGGGGAATCACATGACCTTGGGACACAGCAGTGGTCATAAATGTGAACCAGTTGCCAAGCATCTCAATTTTCATCACATGATCACGGGGTCATAACTGTGCAAAAATGATCATAAATCTTTTTTTTTCAGCGCCACGGTAACTTAGAACAGTCGCTAAATGAAATGTTGTAAGTCGAGGACTACCTGGATATCAAAATAGTCAAGATGACACCTGCAATTACATAATAGAAGCCACTGTAGAAGTTGCCAAAGTCCACATTTGTTGACCCCACTATGTATGTTGTATGAATCCAGCTTGTTGTGTGGCCAGTCCATCAGCAGCAACGCAGGTTTAGTTAGTTCTTAGTAACCACCATAAGGACTAGCAACTTGGTCATTCAGTGAAGTCCTTGCATGTGAAACATCATGATTTTACAATCTTGCTTCAGCTTTCCTGGCTTTACAAACCTGCAAAGATGACAAATGTGAGAACTTAGGGGGATTGGGTAGAAAATTTTCACAAGTAGCGAAATCAAACAAACGAGGCTAACACTCTAATGACTTTAGCAATTCTAAGAAGGAGAGCTGCTTGGAGCCCCGTTTTCCTCTTCTATTTTTTCTTTTTAAACCCATAGCGGAGAGAGATGTATTTTGCATAACTCGCCTCTTTGTTTTGTTATGCTTCGCAAGCTGCTAGTAATTAGCACATTTCCACTGTTGCTTTTATATTCTCAATGGGCAGCCCTTTGCCAAGAGTGGCAAGTTCCAACCCATAAAATCTGGCCTCTCCAGAAACTTTTTTTTGGGAATGCATTAGAGAGGATGAGAAAAAGGGGGGAAATGTGCCCTGAGCGCTGAGCTTTTCGTTTGAATTTGCTCTTTGTGGAATATTATTTATGGCCATGTGAAACATAATGAAGGAAGGCGAGCCCTCCCTTTGCTCCGATCGAGCGGCTGGGTAGCGCATGGCGCCTGCCTGCCGTTTATCTCAAGATATTCATCTTCTGGAGTTCTCACAGCCAGTGTCGCCTAAGAATACGTTGGCATGATCCAGCGAGTCCGTGAATGAGTCAGCGCAAACTCTCAGGCACGCTTTGGGCTGGAGCAGGACAGAAGAGACAAGAGAGAGAGAAAGCAGAGTTGGTCACAAGGAGGTGGGCAGCTTAGCTAGAAAACTATCCATCTGAAACTGCCACAGCAGGGAAAGAATGTTTTCAGGGGATAGGGAAGACGAAAATTATACAGTCGGCTGGGATCCAGGTGAAGGGTTGCCTGTGTACCTAAGAAGCAATGCTTTTTTTTTTTGCCTCTGAGGAAAATAATTGTTGGGACGTGTTGGGCGCAACACATTAAAACTTTCTACCCAAGCCTCCATTTGAGAGCTAATTTTCATTTCATTTTTGCTTTAAAAATTGTTTTAAAAGACCCAAGGGCCAAACAAGAAGTAATTTTCTTCAGACCCGTAGCTGGATTTCCAAATGTCTCCAAATAATTGGTTAAATCTCATTTTCTGCCTACTGTAGAAGAAAGAGAAGAAAGGGGGGAAAAATGGGTTAAGGTTTGAGGAAGAGTCTGTAATAGAATGAGAGAACGTGTAGAAAATCTTTGATTTGGTTCCAAGCATCTCCAATGGCAGACAAAATAACAAAACAAAATATCTTGGGTCTGGATTATTTATTATTTATTTCCTAACTTACTTAAGACACTTCTTTTACATGGAAATATTGGAAAATTCCTTGTGTCTAGTCAGAGAATTGGTCTGTTGACTTTAATATCTACTTGGAAATTCCTGGGATTAATAATGATGTGATCAATAGTGTTGAAACTCTCAGTACAATTTATGAAACCACGCCAGATCATAGATTGATCTGAAAAATTGCAATGACAATGGTGGAACTAGAGAAGAAGCAAAATCAAGAGAAGAAGAAAAGAATTTCAGTTGCATTTTACAGTTCCTTTGAGTGATTCAGCCTTCAGCCTAGATGGAAAGGATTTTCAGAATTTACTTGAATGAATTTGGAGGAACCAGCCCCCATTATCCCCACCCACAAAGGTATTTTTAAAAACCCTTTAAGATTCATTATTACAAGCAAAGATAGTCCTTGACTTACGATCACAATTGGGCCCAAAATTTCTGTTGCTAAGTGAAACATTTGCTAAGTGAGTTTTGCCCCATCTTATGACCTTTCTTGCCACTGTTGTTAAGAAAATCATTGCAGTTGTTCAATTAGTAACCTGGTTGTTAAGTGAGTCTGGCTCCTCCATTGATTTTGCTTGTCAGAAGGTCACAAAGGGTGATCATATGCAACTGTCATAAATATGAATCACTTGCCAAGCTTCTGAATTTTGAGCACGTGACCACGGGGGAAGCTGTAATGGTTGCAACTGTGAAACATGGTCATAAGTCACTTTTTTCAGTGATGTTATAACTTTGAACAGTCACTAAATAAACTGTTGTAAGTCAAGGACTACCTGTAGTCCTCAACTTACAACCATTCATTTAGTGACTGTTCAAAATTACAACAGCACTGAAAAAAGGGACCTGTAGCTGGTCCTTGCACTTACAACTATTATAGCGTTTCCTTGGTCACGTGATCAAAATTCTGTTGCTTGGCAACCAGCATGTATTCGCTATGGCTGCAGCATCCTGGGGTCACGTGATCATTATTTGCAACCATCCTAGTTGGCTTCAACATTCAAAGTCAATGGGGGAAATCTGGATTTGGTTAACAGCCATACGATTCACTTAACAAGTGCAATAATTCGCTTAACAACCGTGACCAAAAAAAAAGGGTCATAAAATCAGATGTAATTCACTTAAAAACCATCTTGCTTAGCAATGAAAATGCTGGCTCCACCTGTAAGTTGAGGCTTTTCTGTAATTGAAATTAAACAGGATGACCTGATCTCACCATCTTCTCGGCTAAAGTAGGTAAAACACGTTCCCAACCAGAAACTCAGAATGTTGGAAATGCAAAAGTGAACAGGGCACCTTCTTCCACATGTGGTGGACATGCTCGGAAGTCAAGAGTTATTGGAGTAGGATTAAAAAGTGGATGGAAAAAAACAAAACAAAAACAAAAAATTGAATTCGGACCGGAACTGTTTTTATCGGGAATAATAAGACAGACCAAATACATCATTTTACATATAACAATTGCGGCCAGAATTGTGTACGCATAGTCCTGGAAATAGGATAATATACCATCTGAGGGGACAGTGATAAGAAAGATTTTGGACTGTGCTGAGATGGACAGGCTGGCCTTAGAGTTAAAAGGTAGAGGTGAATCTGATTATTATTTGGTCTGGGATGCCTGGTACATCTGTTTAGACAATAGACACAAAAGTAATACAGTAACTAATATATGAATATGAATGTTGATGATACTGGAATGTTGTTGAAAGTGTTGATATGTTATAAATTGTTGGGAAATGTTTAATAAAATTTATTTAAAAATAATAATAATAATAATAAAGTTGGTAAAACATGGTTGCCTCCTCAGAGAGGGTTAAACTTGCTGGGTTAGCGTCAGTTGATGCTCCATCCACCATCTTGCTAGTTTTAACCCACCCGTCCTACAGATGCCAGCAGTTCTTAGAGCTCCTGCAGATTTGGGAAGAAATGCCAAAATTAGTCAAGCTGTTTCTCCTCTCTTGCCAAGGAAGCAGCGTTGTCCAGAAGAAAGAGTCTTCGTTCTCCTCATTCATTTTGCCTTTTGCAGTTGCTGTGAATAAAAAAACCAACAACACAACCTCTTACTGTAGAAATAACATGACCTACACTAAGCGAGCTTTCAACGGTGTGTTTATCACCTCCGTCCCTCAAGCTTGTCTCAGTACAAACAGACCACCCAAACCTGGCAGGGTCTCTAGACTTCCTCTGTGTCGCCCTCTTTGCGTATGCCAAAGCAGATGGGCTGGTGAGCTTTAGGACTCGCTGCTGTGTTGTCTGTGTGTAGCCCTGGAGAACAGCTAAACAGTTTCATTCCTGGTTTATAATTGCACCAGCAGAAATCTGGGGGAGACGTGAACCCAAGGGTCTCCAACCTTGGCAACTTTAAGACTTATAGACTTCAACTCCCAGAATTCCTCAGCCAGCATAGCTGGGAGTTGAAGTCCACAAGTCTTAAAGTTGCCCAAGGTCGGAGACCTCTGCATTAACCTATTGCAGCAAATCCTTCACCCCACAGGGTTGTTCCCTGAAACAGGTGCAATTTGCTGCAAAAGAAATTCAAAATTAACAGCTTCTCTCCTATTTTCTCTCCTCTTCTCTCTTTCCAAAATTAGGTACCTCTGAACTCAGCCCGTTCTCCGACCCACGGCAGTTTGATCGGTCCTTCTCTGCTCTACCAGGCCTCACCGAGACCCGGTTTCCAGACCCAAGAATGCATTACCCTGGTGCCATGCCTGCGGCCTTCCCTTACACAGCGACACCATCTGCCACGGGAATCGGTGGCCTCAGTATGACCAGCATGCCAACGGCCACTAGGTTCCACCACACCTACCTTCCCCCACCATACCCCAGCTCCACCCAAAACCAGAGTGGACCCTTCCAGGCCAATCCTTCTCCCTACCACTTGTACTATGGTGCCTCTTCCGGATCATACCAGTTCTCCATGGTGGCAGGAGGAGAGCGCTCACCAACCAGGATGTTGCCATCTTGTCCAAGTGCCACGGCAGGAAACAACTTGATCAACCCCAGTCTCACCAGTCAGGCTGATGGTGTGGAAGCAGACGGTAGCCATAGTAACTCCCCAACAACCATGACAACAACCGGGAGGATGGACGAAGCTGTCTGGAGGCCATATTGAAAAAGCCCTGAAGGCCAAGCCATGTTCTTCACCAATTGGTGGGTCAAAGGAGAAAAGAACCAAAAAAGAGCTGCAACTGGCGATCCTGTCCACTCCACCTCCAAAGTGGCCTTGGCATCCCAAATGAGATCGTTCTTGTCCAAAACATAAGATAATAAGAAACGGAAAAAGCACAGGAAGGCTAGAGATAGCATGAATTTGGATACATTTCAAAACAAATCTTCCTAGGTTCTTCTCAACAAATGGTCTGCAGCAGCCTTTCCCCAACTTGGGGCATCCAGATGGATTTGGACTACTTGGAGTTGTTACCTGCACACACCTTGGTGTCTCTCAGCCACGAAAGACTGTCTGTTGTGTCCAGAACAGACAAAAGAATAGGTAGAAAAGAAATACTCTTCTCTGTTGTAGCAAAAATGGCCAAACACAAAAAGCTCTGGTTCAGCATTTCCAACTTGGTGTCTCCCAGATAGGTCAGATAATACCTTCCAGTATCCCCAGCCAGCTTGGAGATTATGGGAGGTGTAATCCAACACATCCAGAGAACAGCTGGTTAGAGAAGGTTGTCCTTAGCAATCATCTCAAAAGGCCAAGCAGTGTTTCCAATGGATGGATGGATGGATGGATTAAAGGTTCTTGATATTAGTCCCTCGAATAATGAAGCTGATGACAGAGGTCTGTGAATCCAGGTCAGGCTGAAGTTAGGATCAGAAAGTTTCCCTCTTTTGCACTGCACACGCTTTCTCCTCTCTAAGAGGAGGCAAGAACAAAAAGATCAGGGCAGGAGACAAAGTTTGGTGACAGAATGGGAATCCAACAGACCCCAGAACACGTGAAAAGATTCTGCTATTTCAGCCCCATGAAAAAAAAAATACGCAACTGTGATTTCCTTCCTTGGGACTTGGGTCAGAATTCTCTTTCTGAATTTGAGCTGAAGCTTTTTCGATGTCCCACTTTTTCCCATTAAGAGGTTGAGGTGGCTTTTTTTTTTTAAACCCTCGTTCTGATATCCCCAGGTAAAGATGGCCAGGTGAGAAGTCATGAGTAGAGAAAGGTACAATCTCCCTGTCGGGACCCAAAAAGATGGAATGATAATCCACCTCTCCAGAGATGGAAAATGGATCCATTCTTTCCATCTCTTTCTAGCTACTTATGAATTTGTGACCAATTGATTGGTGCTTCTCCAATCACAGCCATAAACCTGAGTCATTAACGATCCCCATCCAGAGCAGGCAGAATCTTAGATATCAAGGCCTGAGTTGATACAAAACAGCTTTGTCTAAAAGTGAGCAGAGCTAAACAAGGACGGGATTTCTGGTTGGGCCGTAGCTTTTTGCACTTATTCAAACGATAACAGCCCTCTAGTTTTTGAATGTGGTAGGAAGGTTTTGGTGCTAACCAAGTGTCCCCATCCTTACTCCTCACTACTTCAGAGGGTACAAGCGACGGTGGCTGGTCTCCACCAGTCCTAGTGAGATGGAGACAGAGCTAAAAAGAGCCTCATTTGCTGACATTCGCAGCAAGGCTCAGACGCAAATTTAGTCCTTTCATGAATTAGGACCACAGTTTGACCAAGCAGTTGATCTAAGACGCCAAGTTCAGCATCTTGTCCAGAGACTAAGCCAGGCAAGGCATCTCCTGCAGATGGCTGTTCTTGGCTATATTAGTTGTGTGAAAAAAATATTCTGCTCATTCTCTTTTTAAAAAAAAGAGGCATCAAGGTGTAGATCCTTGGAGGGTGTTCAGAGTGGGAGCCAAGGGTAGTTGGTTTTTTTTGTCTTTGTTTTGCTACTGTTAAGCCAGTGCAATGTCTGTAACTCATCCCATCGCCACATCTTACACAGCTCAAAAAGGAAATATCACTTGCACACATACACACACACACACACACACACAGACACACACAGAGAACACGGAGTTCTTGGGTGGGAGAGGAAGACAGGAAATATTTGGTTGTTGTTGTTTTTTTAAATCCTAGAGCACCACCCAAAATTAATCTCTAGCTTTGGTCATGATTTAAATAAACCTGTTCTGTTCTTCCTTACTGTTGTTTTCAGTCTAATAAAGAAACCGGTGTGTTTTGCCTAAGGTTGGAGTCAAAATCTGAGTAACAACTAGATTGTATTCTTTAAAAAAAAAAGCAGGAGAGGGGGAATTGTCCTTAGGTGTAACCTTAAACCTGCATGACACCAAATAACCTTTATTAAGCAGAGCTTTATTTTTGCAACCTGAAGCCCTCCAAGTGTTTAGTTGATAAACCTCCAAAATTCTGAGCCAGAATCCCTTCGGGTAAAAAACATAAGGATCGAGTCCAGTGGTGAGATTCAATTTTTTTTACTACTGGTTCTGTGGGTGTGGCTTGGTAGGCGTGGCAGGGGAAGGATACTGTAAAATCTCCAGTCAGAGGTGGGATTTGCTGGTTCTCCGAACTACTCAAAATTTCTGCTACTGGTTCTCCAGAACTGGTCAGAACCTGCTGAGTACCACCTCTGATCGAGTCCAGCAGATCTAAAGGGTGCCAGGCAGTCAAGGTGATCCTATGGGATCTGCAGATAGCAGACGTGTAACAGAAATTGGCAAGCATGTCATGTCTGAATTCCCCGTTTCAACAGGTCAAATAACTCAAGAAGGCAGCCACATCCATCCTAGTAAATCTCCACCACTTTTTCATGTGCTTCATAGCCCATCTTTGAAAAGGGCAGGGTTTTGATGGTGTGACTGTGGACGCCATCTTGCCTTTTTTGACCCCTCCCCCTCCCTGCAGGCACCCTTGCCATTTACCAACTGTGACAGTATTATATTTAGGGTGACTGGCGCCCTCTGCCTCAGGTCCCCTTTTGTAACATCCTGCGGGTGATGGATATCATCAGGAAACTTGGTCCTCGTAAATATTTAGCCTTGAAACAACCGTGACTGGATCTTTCAAAATAATTTTGGGTCATTCATTCACATCCATATCTGAGAGTTTGTTTGGAACACCCAGGAAACTGAAAAGATTCTCCTCGATCTGGTCCTCTCCTTTGTTTTAACTGACATCCATGGTTTATCTAAGACAGTCTTTCTCAACTTTAGCAACAGATCGCTGGCTGGGGAATTCTGGGAGTTGAAGTCCATCTTTGCTGGCTGGGGAATTCTGGGAGTCAAAGTCCACATGTCTTAAAGTTGCCATGTTTGAGGAACATTGATCTACATTCTGCACTTAGAGCACCCATGCTTTCCAAGCGGCAAAATTGGAAGATCAGATATGGGGTTGGTTTCAAATTCTGATTTGGACAAAGGGGAGATGGTGGTCTGTCTATACTCAGGGATGCATTTAGCCTTGTATAAACACCAGATCTTAGTTAAAGCGCTGTGGGCAGTGAGGGCCAGCAACATGATAGTGAACATGTTCTCAAATGAGCAGAGTACCTTAGTCTGTTCTCCAAAGATGTATTTTATAGGATATTGAACGAGGCAGAGAAATTTGAAAGAGACTGTGTACCTATTGTAATTTCTTGCTAGTTGTAACTTGCAAACCACAGCCAAAGGTTCAGGTTTATGACAGACTGTTGTCCCCAGATGTGAAAAAAACACACGCATCTCTTTTATACAACTGGTCCAATATTTGGCCCAGGTTTCTTCGTTGATGTTATTGTTGTTGCTTTGCACTATAGTATGCTTTTTTAAAAAAAAAGAAAGGAAAAGATGCACAATAACTTGTACAAAAGATTCTTTCCTTGGCTCATGGAGTATTTAACTGAAAAAAAAAAGTCTACTTTCGGGTCTTTATTTGTTAAAATAATATAAATCTTTTAAAAAATATTGTTGTTGAAGGATCCCAGTTCCTAAATCTGCTTAGAATTTTTGTGTCTTGAAGTAGCTTTTGTTTTGTTTTCTAATTTTAAACAGAATGGCAATTGATTGGTGGGGGGGGGAGCCTTTGCAGGATGTAGATAGATTGTGTTTAACACAAGGAAAATTAGAGCATTTGTTTTCCCTTCCTTCCTTTTGCTGTGCTGAAGCTAATTTCAATTATTAATATCTTTAAAAATATGTTAATAATATTTAAAAGGTGAGAGTCTGCACCATAATCCCGTCCTACTTGGTGATACCTTTATTTTGAATTGTAACTCTCCTCTCTTCCCACAGTTTTGTCTTTCACACATGTAGCATTTGCAAGCTGGGGTTGGGAAGAGACCCAGATCCCACCAAAAACTTCAACAGTTCTAACCCAAAATTTGCTGATGTCATGCAAAGCACTTCTAAACATTGGAAGTGGTGAATATTGCCTTCTCTTGCCCCTTCAGACTGCGCCCCATGGAAGCTCATTGCCCCCTACAAACAGGGTGAGATGTATCAGCTTTCCAAAACTGTGGCAGGAAGAAAACATCTCCTCCTTAACTGGTGGTAAACTGGGAATTCAGTCTGCAAGGAAGCCATAGCAGAGCCATCAAGCTTGTTCCTCTTTCCTAGAGTGGGGGAAAAAAACCCTAAAAGTTCCATGTTTTTAAAGCAAATATACATGATTGCTAACTGTTACGTGTAATCATTTTGATGCCTTACCATGTGGAATAAATAAAGGTATGGTTATTGACTGAATATGTTGCTTCTTGCCTTGCCTTGAAGAACATCCTCTGTTTTTCACCTGCACCTACACTACATGAATCAGGGGTTAGTCTTTCCAGGTCTTAACACTCATTATTTCCTTCCCCCAATGTCTCCAACACCACCCCAAACCAGTCCTCAAGACCTTGCCTTCTGTTGAGCTCAATACAAGGGAAACATGAAGAGATTAAATTAGGTAAAGAGCTGGGGTGGTGCAGTGGTTAGGATGCAGAATTGCAGCTAACTCTGCCAACCGTCAGCAGTTTGACTCTCAATGGCTCAAGGTTGATTCAGCCTTCCATCCTTCCTTATTTTATCGGTAAAATAAAAACCCAGATTATTGGTGGCAAGATGATGACTCTGTAAACCGCTCAGAGAGGGCTGTAAAGCTCTGTGAAGGGGCATATAAGGCTAAGTGCTAAGTGCTAAAGGTTTCCTCTGTGCAATTATGTCTGGCTCTAGGGGCCAGTGCTTATCTCCATTTCCTAGCTGAGGGAACCAGAATTGTCCAAAGATGCTTCCATGGCCATGTGGCTGGAATGACTATAAGCCAAGGCTCATGGAACACTGTTACCTTCTCACTAAAATGGTACCTATTTATCTAGTTGCATTTGCTTTCTTTGGCATGAGCTGGAGCAAGAATGGGAGCTCACACGATATTTGGGTCTTAAACTGCCAACCTTTCGGTTGACAAGCCCAGCATCTTAACTGCTAGGTCACTGTGCCCCCTATGAAGAGATTATCCTGAACCAAATGACATCCCCTTGGGCTAATCAAGAGGAGAATGAAAAAAATACCATTTAATCTTCTGGAAATATTCATGCCATCTTGCCGTATCCTGCCTTGCTGCAGCTCCCAAGCAAGTGATGGGGAAAGGAGAGAACACAGGCTGTTTTGCATCCAGATGTTGCAGCATCTGGAAGGGGGAAAGGCAAATTTAGACAAATGGAAGCTTCTGTAATGGATAGCTAAAAATCTCTCAGGAATCAGGAGGGGAGATGGATCAAATATTCGGGCCAGGGAAGTGTTGTCTACCACCAAGATCCACAAAGGAGTAAATTGTAGCAGAAACACCACCTTTGATCTGGTTTCCTATAAATGCAGCAGGGGAAAAAGGCAGCCAATGGAAAATAATATTTGTAACTTAGGGTTGAACGGTGGGGTCTTCAGTGTTCTCTAGGCTTAGTGGTTTTGTTGACCTTTCATTACCCAACATCATTGGTGCTAGAAGGGCATTCTGATGAAGTTACCTAGTTGGGTAATGAAACATCTGCAAGAAAACCACCAAGCTTAGAGAGCATGAAGGATTCCACAGGATTCCAAAGTAGCCAATCTCATATGTTGTCCTAAGCTTGAAGGTAGAGTAGTTCTGAACCATGGCCACTACTTTATGTAGACAGGAAGTTCATTTTGTTTCTTTCTGTGTGCTAGCTGTACATATTGTTTTGTCACAAGCTTTCCATTTTTTCTCTCCAAAGGATGTTTTTGGAAAAGCTACCTGTGCAGGTAAACATTCTCACTTGGCTGAGACAGTACCTGGAACCATCTGTGGAGGTGAGCTAATTCGATCTAAGCCATGGGTTGGT